TAATTGCGTACCAGTTTAACGTTGAATATTATTTATGATTTTAACTTTATACACAAGTGCCAAAATACTATAATTATTTATCGTTGTTTGCCTCAATGTTCTTGAATTACAATAAAATGGAAACGTTTCACTTTCGATCTTTAACAATGCAAAGTTCGTCCATCGTTTTTATACAAAATTTTAGTTCGAACTTGAAATAAAAACGTGGTTTAAGTTGGCCATTTAGTAACGGACTAGAAAAAAAAATCCGAGATTTAAGATTGTCGTGTTGGCAATAGAAATTACAGTTAACTGGTTTTAACAGAATCTAACACCATAAGTAAGGTACGTATCTCATATCCACCAAAAATATAATCTCTTATTTAGAAAGTCATACAAATATCTAATTTTAAAAAAAATAGGAGCATAATTTAAGGAAACGTAACGTTTCGATAATACGTTGTAGAATTCAGACACACTAAGTTAAAAATCAAACAAAATAATTGACTCAACTGTTTTATTGTTCATGAAAAAATATTGATCTGCTTTCATCGTTAGCTTATTTTCCCTGAAGCATTAGCATTTGTTTAAAAACTTTTTCAATATATCAGTTGTGAATACTCAATTAAAATGTTATTAATTAGCATAATTTATGAAAGCGTATCTAGTGTTTCACCATTATATGCACTTATTCGTGGAAATTTGTAAACAAAAAGGGAAAAGTTTTAAGTATTTTACTCCTCGCCTTAAGTTACAAAATATTTATTTATTTCTTATAGCGAAAATAAGATATGGAGTGGTTTAAAAAGTTAAGTTAAAAATGAAACTTCATATCAAGAATTCCACGTATATATTTTGACATTTTCAATAAACCAAATTAAGAGTGGAACAAATTAAATTTGGAAAAATAAGCACTTTAACGTCCGTTTTATGTTCACATTTATATATATAACAAAAATTAATTCAAAATTTAATATTCAAGATTATTGCAATTTCACGATATACCTCTTAATTACGTGGAGAAAAGCAAACAAACGAAGATCAAAATTTTTTCGAAAATTATTTTGTAATAGTGCATTTAAAAACCGCTAGATGGAAGCACTCGTCAGAAATTTAAAAACAATGTCGCTGAATCAAATTATGCATGCGTAACTAACTATTATTAAAGTTCCATATGCGGTTCGCGTGAAATTTGAAACGACAAACTTATATGTAAATTCTCGCAAGTAGCTTTAATGTTTCGTTTGATAAGATCTATGTTCGTAATCTAATAATAACAATAATGAAGCATGAAATAGACATGTTTTGTACACGCCAAAAGAAAATTATAAAACAACGCAGTTGTGCGAAACGTAATTGTATTGTAATAAGAACATTCACCTTATCAAGATTGAAAGTATTAATTCTCTCCAGTCTTGTGCTCAAAATCAAGAGCTTAGACAAAGAAAAATCACATTGACTCGAAACTCTATAATTTTTTAGTAATTAACAACATTACTACAACCTTAATGTAATCTTGCAACACGGTTTCTACAACAACCAATTGATCAAGTTCAAGTTTGAAGCGCTCGTAGAAGGAAGAACGTTTCGAAAGGAAAATAGTATCTTTTTTCATTACTGATTGACCTTATTTCACTGGCTATGTGTCCCTTTCTTGCACTAGGTGGCGAACAATTATACATAATCACGGATTTTTGTAATCTTTGCCACCGGGCCACACGAGTGCTTGTCTACAGACTGCTAATCAATGAGCTTGTAATAATAACTTAACACAAATAACTCCTTGGTGGTTCACATTTGGAGTTCATTGACTTATATATCTTTCTGGCATAATGTAGGAAGCAATACTGTACAATAGTTTAGCATACCAATGTATACCCTTCTGGTGACTCTTGACTTTTCTGTGAAGAGACGAATTTGTAGACAAGACGTGAAACCTTTTCAATAAGTGTAAAGTAGAGGCTTTGACATTCTGTACCAGTCTGACGGGAGCAAAAGACCAGTGAGCCAAATACTGGTCATTAAAGATGGCGTAACAAGACGCTACAACATTGTCAACTATCAAATTCCCCTCGTGCGTGAGAGGAGCAACTACTCCGACATCCACAATTACACTTACTGTCTTCACGCGCTCTAACTGCACGTAAGTGTTTGCTGTTTTGAAGACCGTAGAATCTGAGTGTACATATAAGAAATCTCCCGGCTGTACATTCTTTGCAAAAGTGGCTTCGACATTTTTCATTTCAAATGAAGAATTATCAGTGGCCACGAAAATAAGGTGGTTGGGAGTTAAGGTGATCCGAGCGCCCCCTTCCATTTCAATAGCGTAGAACTGTCTCCTTGAGTCAACGTCCCGATCTAAGAAGAGAAGAACTTCTGTAAACACCGATGCTGCGTCGCTGTTCACTGCTAAAACTTCGTCTCCAATCTTCACTTCAGAAAGTCGTTTTGGCCCTTCTTTAGTCGTAACGATTCCATCACCATGGAAACATCCACCAGACTTCCCGGGTCCCGACGACTCTGTAGAAAACAAAAAAAGATAAAACTGATCAGATCTCTATAGCAACAGTGATAGTTACACAGACCGATAACTTTAACTGGATAATTGTCGCTCACAGCAGTGACACAGTGACAAATTTTACGACCTCCCGAGTTGATGAATGGTACCGCCACCGTGATAGGCCGATCGAACTACTTATATCGGTCGAGAATCCCCGTCGTCAGTGGTTATCTGGACTGTTAGACAGATCTTACCTCCAGCAATTTCCCACGTTCAAAATCGTGAAGTTTGCAACGTCCATGCACGGTATCTCCAAGCATTGTCCTAGGCCGCTGATCTATTGAACTTTCTAGTTTTGTGATTTTCTTTTCATTGTTTACTAAAATAAGTTATTAGAATACAAAAATGGTCAAAGCTAAACTGCTGTTAACATTTCGACTTTCAACATATTTTCGGACTTTTCAATATTAGTTTTTTGTTCAATGCAAAACTACAAAATAGACTACCTGTGCTCTGTCTACAACGGGGAATCGAACCCTAGATTCTATAGTTATTAGTGCGTAAACTTACTGCTGAACCATTGGGGAACTCAAATATTACAACGCTATAACCAACAATTGCTTACTATATTGGAAAGTGTTCGACCTACGTGTTATTTAAATATCGTAAAATTTCATTGAAACTTGGTATGTGGTAATGTTATCGATCTTTCTAAAAGAAAATCACTTAAATGCGTCAATTTTAATTATTTTAATTCTTATGTATATTTCATTTGTTTCACAGAACATTTCTTTCCAGAACAACCCTAAATTGATTTTATTTTTCATTCTTATAAAACCAGTCCAACTAATATAAGCCTATATTTGACAAATATCAAAGAAAGAAAGATTCATTAATCGTCAACTTTCTTCATTCATATCTTATCATTTAAACAGAGGGCTGGCATGGCCTGGTGGTTAGGGCACTCGACTCGCAATCTACAGGTCTCATGTTCCAAACATTGTAGCTCTTTCAACCATGAGAGCGTTATTCTGTAACGGTCGATCCCACTCTTAGGTGGGAAAGAGTTGGTGGGTAATTTTTACTAGTTCTCTTCCCGCTGTTCTACTAGTCGTGAGTAAAGAGTTGGCGATGAGTGGTATTACCTTCCATTCTAATCTTATCGCTTCAAAATTAAGGAGGACTAACTCTAATAGCCCTCGAGTAACTTTAAACGAAATTCAACAATTAAATATTGTTATCGAGCTCTTTACAATTCTTTTAACGTCAACATTCACCAACTTTAAATGCCCTGAAAAATTTATAGTTTTAACCCTGATCAAAGGATATGGGATCCTCTTTCTATTCAGGATGAAGAAAAGGGGGCTGTAGAGGACACGGTTGAAGATTTTAGGAGTGATCGTCTTGTTTACGCTAGTGTCAAATAACTAAATACCTACACCAATTTGGCTTCCCCATTTATCTACCCCGAAATTGTCGTCTCCTGATAACTTCGGCTAAGATGAAAGAGCGTTGTTTCTCCTAGTCGGAGAGCTAACAAAATGTAGTTATCTTCTTTGTACAAAGACAAACATTTAGAGGTTTGCCGTTCGTCGCTTCGTCCCTTCTTAAGTTTCTTGTGTGGACACTTCAAGCGACCAATGTAAGAAACTGCTGTTGTTATGAAAGTTTTACGATCAGTAAATATGAAGTGGTGTTGGTTGAGGAGGTACTCTAGGACAAAGTCTAATGATCACTAAGGACTGAATTAACAAAGCATCTTATGAGTACGCCAGTGAAATAACCATCATTTGTTTAGTTATAACAACAGTTTAAAAAAAAAGGGAAAAAAAAGAATACATAAAGAGCATGTCATGAAAAACCAGTGGAGTATTTGGAATAGATTGATGGAAAGATCTGTTTGTATAAGATATAAACATAAAACAACATTTAAATGTCATAAGCAGTAGAAATTCTTTTGTGTAATATACTCTAAGCTGTGGGATTGGATGTGCGATTATCTGTATGATGCAAATGTTTTTTTCAATAATTTGCAGATCTTGGCATAACCTGATAGTCAGGGCACACGACTATCAATCTGCAAGCGACTGGATCGAATCTAACCACCGAATGTGCTTGCCCTTTCAGCCATAGGGGTGTTATAATATAACGATCAATCCCACTATTCGTTAGTAAAGAGTAGCCCGAGAATTAGCGGAATGTGGAGATTATCAATTGCCTTCTCTCTATCTATAACTTCAAAATTAGAAACGCTTAAAATATATTTCCTAAAGACATAAATTACCTTAGAAAAATCGAATATATAAAATAAAAGAAATAGTCACATTATTTCAATCTTAAAGGAAAGAGAGCCTAATAGAATAGCATCTAAAACAATATAATAGCTCCTAATACAATATCAATTCCCAAGCTCCAATGGTTTTTAATTTCAAACAGCTAAGCCAACAATACATAGCATTAAAACTAGCATACAAACAAAGTGTGGGACTGGTAGAAGATATCCTGATAGAAAAAGTGCTGAATAAACAACGAATACTATGGAGGCGAAATGATATGTATCAGTAAATATAAGGCTTAACTTATGATTACAAGCATCGTATGTGAAAAGAAAGTGAAACCTAAATATTAGGTGTAGATATGGATGTTAAAACACAAAAACACCCTGCATTTAAAACTGTGATTTATCACGAGAAAGGTAATTAAAAACACACCACTGGGGTGATAACTAAAGCTTACTTCCTCGTGCATGAAACATAAAATAATTAAATTAATTTATGCTACTAATTAAGAGGAAAAGAACGTATGAATTAATTTCATATAACTAGGCCTTTAGGCCAAAAACAAGTTGGACGTTATTTTTATAATTCTAATAATATAGAATATCGGACGAGTGCGAATACACTGATTAGGAAGGAGATTGGATTATATATTGTATCTATATTGGCCAGGTGGTTAGGGAGCTCGACTCGCAATCTGCGGGTCGCGGGTTCGAATCCCCGTCCCACCAAACATGCTCGCCCTCTCAGCCGTGGGGACGTTATAATGTTACGGTCAATCCCACTATTCGTTGGTAAAAGAGTAGCCCAAGAGTTGGCGGTGGGTGGTGCTAACTAGCTGCCTTCACTCTAGTCTTTCACTGCTAAATTTGGGACGGCTAGCGCAGATAGCCTTCGTGTAGCTTTGCGCGAAATTCAAAACAAACAAACAGTTAGGAGGGGGAAGTTCTTTCTTTGATTAGCAGAAGACATTACACTAATTATTTTAGATCTTTGTTCATACATGCTGAAATACCAAAGTCACAAAATAGGTTTTACTTATCACCGCAAAATATCTGTATTTGGTAAATTGTTTTGGTCATTAATAATTTTATTTGACTTTTCTGTTTCATTAGAAGCTACTATCTACTGCTGTTTGCAGATAAGGCATACGAATATAGATTTTCTCTAATGAGCAATGTATCACTTCTCTTTCTATGAAAAATATTATCATTGCCCATTCAAACCGTTTCCAAGCATTATCATTGCATTCTGTGGTTTACACCCTAGAGTAATAATCAGAATGGCATTAGCTCATTCTGATCATTAGATTATATAGCACTAACTCATTCTGATTATTAGATTCAACAGTACTGACTTATTTTTATTATTAGGTTGAACAATACGAATTCATTCTGATTATTAGATTATAAAGCACTAACTCATTCTGGTTATTAGATTCAACAGTAATGACTCATTTTGATTACTAAAGCGAACACAGTTTTTTTTTTCTAGCGAGTTAAGCCTAAACATTATATCATAGCACTTTGGATAAAGTGTTTAAGATCAAATTTAATATACAAGGTGAGCCATAAGTAAGTTTACCAAATAATTTTGCAGCTCATCTACTTCTTATTGTAGTTTTTTAGTTTTTGTTTGTTTTTTAAGAACATGTGATGGTCGTATTTACTAAATGTTGAAGTGGCTCCTAGTCTTACCAAACAGCAAAGGATTTTTTGTGTAGAAAGCGTGGTGGAGAACAGGAGTGTTATTATGAGTAAATCAATGAGGCAGATATATTAAACACTAGCTTCAAGGAAGGAGAGTGTCTTGTAAAATAACATAAAACCTGTTTTTTTTTTTTTTTAAAGACTCATGACGTAGGTAAATGAATTTGTTGAATTATACACAAACTTTTCTCTACATTAAAATACTTTTATTTGCGAGCTTTCGGCCCTCTTACGAGAGCCTTCATCGGGCAACAAAGTGGTACGAGGTCCTTCATTATACGGCTAAGATATGTTATGCGCCACCCTAAAGTACGGAAATTAAGAAGATAATGTTTAACCGTGTTTTGTTGCCATTAATCACGAAAATCAGAGGGTCAATATAGGCATTTATTATCTATTTTATTTAACATGCATACTGGTGATTTGTTTATGCCAAAGTAATTGAAAATATTAATGTAAGTAAGTATAGATGATGTGGTTTTATATTTTTCTTGGTACATGTTAATGAATCTTCATCAGTCCTCCTTAATAAAATTAATACCTGTAACTGGAATTTTCAACCTGAACGACACTTTGTACGCACGTGAGTTTCAGCGATCAGGTCAGAGACCCCTACGATTCAGTTATAGCTGTCTCTCATTTTGAATTATTGACCCGAGAGAGGGCAGCCAGTCAACATTAAGGACTTCGCGAGGCTCTTTAAAACTAAATAACAAGATTGATAGTCATTTTTATAACACAGCTGAAAGTGTGAAGCGCGTGCTCAAGAGCATCACGTCTCTATCCTTGAATCCTTTAATTCGCAGCCCGTCCTGCTTACCAGAAGACCATGCTCGGCGCAAAAATTACTATCCCTTCTTATTACTAACCATATGACTGAGAAATGACATCAACATTCCTTTTCCAAGTACAGGTGCTTACAACGGTAATCCCACCTTTGGGCCAGTGATTACTAACCATATGACTGAGAAATGACATCAACATTCCTTTTCCAAGTACAGGTGCTTACAACGGTAATCCCACCTTTGGGCCAGT